GTGTTTTGTTTACACTTTGTTTCCCGTTATTACAGCCATTTAAATCCTCGTTTAACCAAATAATACGATCTAATCATAAACAATAACTCGTCCCCTAGTTATATAACCAAACAGTAAAGCACAAATCAAGAAATTAGCTCTAAAATAATAGAAACAAAGTTTCGTCAACACTAGCACCCATGTGTCACGTACATGAACTAGACACGAAAAACGTGCTTCAAAATTTACAATGGGATGAGAAGTCTACTTGTGTTGGTTAGTCTATGGTAGTGTTGTTAAACAATAACTTGTTGTGCTGACCTACTGAAGGCTGTTGCTTTAAGTAGGCCAGTGCACTTGATCAAGGGGTCAGTTTTGTGGGTAGTGTTTGGGTGGTGCACCAGAGGACGGGGTCCTGCTGGGTGAGCTGGAGCCCAAGGCCCCTGGCCTTGGGTCCAGGTAAGAAATTGTAAATGGTTTTCAAAATTGGGGTTTAAGCTACTAACTGATTTATACAGTTCCAGTCTACTCTACCTTTTTGATTGTTAGTTTAGCTTTGTATTCTTTGTGTTGTTTTGAGTAATAATAAAGTTGGGTTTTGTAAGGAGTGCTGAGTTTCATTCCTGAGCTACGTCACCCAAAGTAACAGTATGTATTCTAAGGTGGAAATACATACCGTCACAATTAAAGAGTAGTAAGTACTTCATTTTTATTGGGTATAAATTTTGTCCGCCATCTTGGATCCGCCATAATGGATACAAAGTTTTTTTTTCAAACGTAAAGGTTTGACTGTGAAATTTGTATGTGACCCATAGTTTCAAACTAGAATTTTACACTGATTACAATGTCACAATTCGTTTTTAAATTTCTTCATCCATTCTAAAGTTATGATACATTTTGATATCTTTATTTTAGCCCATTTTAACATTGTGCATTTAAAAAATAAGATCATAATCTCAAAATAGTGTAGATAAAGATAAGTAACACCACCAGTCATTGTTGTCCTATTTTCACTTATGGATGTATTTTTTCGGCCGCCGGCCACCATCTTAAACCCACCATTTTGAAATGTGATAAATTATTTTAAATATGAAGGTGGTGTTGTTACCAATAATTTTGTAATAATTTTTTATGCTGAACTCAATGCCGCAATCCGTTTTCCATTTTTATATTTGGTTTTTGAAATATTGACATTTTAAATAAAATAATAATTGTAGGCTAATATTTCATCAAGAAAGCTTGATAACAAAAAAATCCCCCAAGGGGATCCAAGATGGCGGCCAAAAATTTATACCCAATAAAAATGAAGTACTTACTACTCTACAATGTTTTGACGTGGTCCGGGAGTTTTAAGAAACGTATATATCTTAGTAAAACTTATATATTAAAAAGCTTTTGGAAAACTTATGACAATTAGCCTAACCATAATACTGGGCCGATTAACACGCGCGTTGTACCAAAAGAAGGTTATGGAAGAAATTCTAATCGCATGTTTTATTTACAGCGTGGGGTTAAAATAGAGAAGTTTGCACAATACATACTTTTGGTCAAGTTTTTGACCACGGGGCGAGCTCTCGTTTAATATAATTTTTTTTCAAGTTTTACCAAACATTTTAATTCAAGCTTTTACAAAGGAAATTAAATGTCTTCAGAGTTACACCTAACTACACTGAGGGGTTTATAACTACATTTACTCCAAGCTACAGTTATTATTACGGAGCAGAACGTTTAACACCCTGACTTATCTTCAGTACACACTGCCTAACTTGACAACTCGGGACATTACAGGAAACTTTGTACCATTCAGAATAATTTATGTGGTAGTTTAACTCTATTAAAAATACATCCTTAACATGTCACAAATACAACATCTCTACTACTGTTTAGTTATTATTAACTAGCTGTTTGCTTGCTCTTTGCGTAAACTTGTTAAGTTTACTATATAAGTTTATTTCCGACTATATAAACATCATAGTTTTGTGTCAGTGAGATTAACCTAATTTATTGTGGCATTTTAGTTTTATCAACTTCTAATAATATGTGTGATTAGTGATGAAGAAAGTAGAATTGAACTTAAGGAAATTGACAGGAAAGCAGGCTTACCTTTAAAATAAGTCCATAGAGACACATAAAACATCACAAAATTATTGAAAAAATAATTACAATCACAATAATTATAATCACAAAAATAATTACTGTTTTATGTTTTATGTGTCTCTATGGACTTATTTTAAAGGTAAGCCTGCTTTCCTGTCAATTTCCTTAATAATTCCTGGCAAATGCCCTATCTTTTTATAAGATAACCTTAAATAGAATTGAACTTAGTTTTTTATTGCATTTTAATTTTTAAGTGAGCACTTGTGATGTATGGTTCTGTTCTGTTAATATTTTTCCTACAGTCACCTAACGATGCACATGTTCTCTCACTGATTTGAGAAAGCAAAGTGGCCAATTCGCTCATCAGTGAGACAATGTTAACATTGTCTCACTCTAATTACTTTGTCTCACTCCAGATTTGCAACGTGAAGGTACGAAAGTGACCAATTCGCTCATCAGTGAGACAATGTTAACATTGTCTCACTCTAATTACTTTGTCTCACTCCAGATTTGCGACGTGAAGGCACGTTTCTTTACCAATTTATTTGTTTTATGGTACAACTGTAGGAAAAATATAATGTGCAACTCGAGTGCAAAGTGCAATCGCCTCACTCGAGAAACCATTCATCACTCGCCTACCATTCCTCCTCTCGAGTGAGGCAATTGCTCACTTTGCTCACTAGTTGTACAAATAACTATTGTAGTTGTTTAAACTGTTTCATAGTATCTACACTGAGGTTAAATGTTAATGGCAAGTTCGTTCCACACAATAGGCCTATCATTCACATCAGAGGAGACGAAGCGTGTTTATTTATTTCACCGTCATTTATAACTCACCTTACACACATACACACACTAACACTGTGTGCGAAGCAATTGTTGATAATGTGAAGAACTGGGACTACTTTTCAATCTTATTCTACGACAGTGACGGGAAGAATTGCCTAAATTCTAGAGAATACTTCTATTAAATGTCGAAGCTGTTTACCTTTGGTGGGTTGTGTGAGCTGATTGTAGCTTCACAACTATTCAAATTTGTCAAGTTTAGTGATGGACGTAATTCTGTGAAAAGACTCAGATTTACACAATCCCTGTCTAGCGGGCACTTCGACGTTTTAGAGCCACAAAAAGAGACTGTTTCTCCCAATCGTCAGCCAATTCCAGAATCTCAACAAAATACATTAAGGAGTAAGGTGCACAGACAAACAAAGAAATAGCAGGTGAAGGACGCAAGCGATAGGTTTTCAACAAACTCATCCTGAAATATTTGCCAAAGATTTAATGGATGGTGACGACACATCTATCAACAATGACATATAATCCGAAAACAGACTATGAAGGAGATAGCTCATCGGTGGTGATAGGTACCATGATGACGTTTAAATTTAAGTACTGCGAAGCCTTAAAATGGAAAGAAGAAACACCGGGCATGTACTGCAATGGTGGTAGTGCAACTACTACCTTTGCAGCACCTACCTAAACATTTATGCAGTCTGGTCATGGGCAACCACCCTGAGCATATACACTTTATGGACCGGGTGAGACATAATAATAGCTGCTTTAATATGACATCGATTGGAGCAAAACAGGTTTTAGCTGAATTGTTGACTGAAGGCTTGAACACTAATTTATAAAAAATTTCAACCTATCTGAAAGTTACTGTTGCGAAACACGGGTATTCCGCTAGTTAATATTATAAATGTGAAAGTATTAATTAATATTAAGTATGATAACATCAACAAAATCAAACAAAGAGGCTTTTTTTACACAAAAGATATTGTGTACAGGGATATATTATGACACATATAGATAATTTATTCTGACAGATAGATAATTTGATTCTGAGATTGTTTAAATATTACAATTATTTGTTTTACATTTGAGCTTCTTAGGGATTTATGTCCCTACAATCCACTAGTGGTTTTGGTTTACTTATTTTTTTTATAGCAACCCAGTAGATGCACAGGCAGCACTTGCTTATGACTGCTGATTTTCTTAAAATATTAAAAGGTAATGCAGAAATATTATTTTTTGTTGTTTTAGTTTATATTTTGTAATTGTTTATGTATTTAAAATTATGTATTTTGTTTACTGTACATTATGTGGAAAATAAACATATTATTTCATTTCATCAAAAAAAAAGAGAAAAAACAGATTACAACAAAAATTGGAGGAAACAACAGACCTCCTGTTATTTTTGCACATGAAAATTTACAGAAATGCAATAATCACATCACACTGCAATGATAGTTGGAGTTGGCGGCCATTTAGCTACGGGCTTTCGCTCGACCAATCCCCACCCCACTAGGTACTCCCATCACGAGCATTAAAATCTATTTTTTTAAATTTTACAATAAAATCAACCTTTCTGCCAATAAAAGGTTTTTCGGTCCTATTGCATTTAAATGACAGTTATATGGCCGTGGCTACTGGCCTGACAACAAGTTACTAGTGTCAAGCAAAAGGTCCCTTGCCCCACTAACAAGCCATAACCTAACCTACTTGTTTTAGTTTATTTGAATGTTACGGTATTAGTTTTGTTCAAGGAAAGGCTCTAGGCCAGGATTTGTAATTGTAGAATAAGGGGGATAGCTTCTAGCATACCTTAGAAGAAATACAGGTAGGCTATAGAACACACAGAAGAGACACACTGAACAGTGAACACACAATTATGGGGGACTTTGTCAAGTGTAGTGCAAGTGATAGAGAGTTTTCAAAATGGTTTCCTAGTTGTGGTATTAAGTCATACGGTAACAGCTCCCTTGGACAGTAAACAAAAGTTAAATCCTAAAAATATGATGCCATATACTGTTGAGGTATGATTAATTCTGATCCGATAAAGTATTATATGAAGTTAAGAGTATAGGTAATGTTTAAGTAGTTTAATGTATTTACATGTAGAACCAATTAGAATACACTAAGAATGAAATTAGAATATATACATTAAAAATAAATACTGATCTCTAAATTATTTCACTCAGGCTTATAAGTTGTACTGGATTGAAACATAATTTGGCCTTCTACATTGATAGGGCAGACAGTAATGTCGAGGAGCAGCTTGAGGTCCAGAGGTTGAAGCAGTGCCAAGTTTCGCTTTGCTGAATGTGCCCAGTACATGAAATGACCATTTACAAATATCTGAAAAATTAAACAGATAACAAGTGACGGTTTATATGGCTAGAGCAGAACAACAATATCTAGAAAGGGTAGTAGATAGCAATATCTCCTCTATTGGTACAGCACAGTCATCTTGAGATTATTTCAGCGAATTTCCTATATAGGGAAGAAGCTTGTGCGTCTCATAATAAGACCTAGACTTGGGACCGATTAACTTTTTTGTTTTGATGTCCCAAAAGTCTAAATACACCATCAGTTCCTAAGTCTTATACTATATAATACACTTGTACAAGTCTGTTTGCATGATAACTCGATTTAAAATAATCCAATTTTGATTAAAATTAGTAAACCCACATTTGCAAACCAGCATGATAGGAATGGGAACGAGGTTTAATGGGGTAAGAGTTGTTTTTCCCATTTTTGACCCTCAAAGTTTTGCAATTTCTATCCAAACCGTTTTAAATAGCTTGAAAACAAATAATTTTGTACAAGTGTTTACATGATTGATGGTTACGAAAAAAATTTGTTAATTTAAATTCTATGTTATTTTTAGGAAGAATAAGTAAACTTGCTTATAGATATTTTTATCAAAATTGGCAAACATATTGCTTTATTAAACTATAAACATTTCACTAAAAAACAATAACATACTTTATTACATACCCTGTAGCAGCAAACCAAAGTGCTGATTGAACCTAACGTTAAATAGGAAATAACACTGGCATATTTGTGATGTGGAAAGCGAAAAGGGACCTCTTGTCGCTCAATGTTATTTCGCCATAACGACAAGAGGTCCCATTTCTAATATTCACTTTATAAAGAAACATTAGTCCAAAAATTGAATTGTCCTGCATTCTAGTGGAAGTTTAGAGAACTTCAACAAATTCAGTTAACGGAGAACAAAATATCTCACAAATTTTGCGGTCACGACAAGAGGTACCTTTTCTTATCTTATGGAGAAATAACTTAGGGCCGACAAGAGGTCCCTTTTCTGAAGTGCGATTTTTACGACATGCTTCGATAAAACAATTATTTAAATTAAAACTACAGTGAGTTAAGAAAAAAAATTGGTATTGCCTCCAAAGAGGACATTATAAGCTTTCTTTTGATACCAAAATCATTTCTTAAATACGAAAAAAAACTGTTTTTATCCGTATTTGAAATTTTCAAAACAGTTTTTCTCCAAATGACCCTTTTCCATAACAAAACTTCAAAGTCCTATAACTTTGACAGAAAAAATCGTTGATGCATGGGATTTGCACCAAGTAATTCGGAATTTATTAAGGATTTCAAATATATATATAACTCAAAATCGAAAATTCCCGACAAGAGGTCCCTATTCGCTTTCCACATCACATTTAAGGAAATATTTTAGTACTGTGGAAATTTGTTTAGTCTCCAGGTTTGCTGTGCGGTATCACTGAGGAATGTTAATTGACAGTGTATTACCAATGTACTAGTAGTATTCATATGCTTGCACCTGTAGTATGTTAGGTAATTAGCAGCATCTAGCTATTGTAATACAATACATATCTGTTTTTGTGGTAACTGTTATTGTCAGCATAAGTTGCCCCTATTATTCTACCCCTTGCATCGATCAAAGTTTCAGTTAGTACCTACTACATTGTAACTGTTTTTTACTCCCACCTGAAATCCAACAACTTCTGCTGGCGGTGGAGGTCCCCATTCAATCATTAGACTGTTGTCATCAAGTTTTTTTACTATTTTTACGTTTAGTGGATTGAGGCTTGAGTATTTTTCATTGCTCTGAAATAGTTAAATTATGCTCAGTTTCATTTGTAAGTTACAAGCAAATCTGTAAACTTAACATACCGAGAATGGCCTACAACGAAAGTATTTATGATAGCCTATATTAAAAATTTTGAAATGTACATTTTGTAAAAAGTGCAAAATGCACATTTTTACAATATAAAATTAATAATTTACATTAAAGTATACAAGTTTCCATCTCAAAATGTAGCATGAAATCCATTAATTAAAATGTGCTAAGCCATAGCTTTGTTCGGTAAGGTACACTATTACTTTGCTAAAAGATTGAAATCATCAAAGATTGTATAGTTTAAATATGAAATCACCATCATGAATTCTGGGTAGTTCTGAGGCTCTTCCCCTTTGAGATACATGAGTAGAGTATCTACGTCAAAGTCATATGTCTTGACAGGGTCACTGCTTGTGGCTTCCTCTAGACCCTTGATGCTGCCAGGCGACTGGCTGTTGTGGAATATCTCACGTAATTGGTCAGCCATTGACTTGATCAGGTGATCCTTCTCCCACAGTTTACGTTGAACAATTTGTGTTTCTATCTTGGGTTCATCAATTTTCTTCGTTGGCAGACTTGGTTCCTGCAAAAAGACAGTGATAATGTTTCTAAGAGCATAATAAATCCTAACTATTGAAATAGAGGAATTCTTTTGATCAGAATATTGATCTTAATTTATTTTAATAGATTAGACTGTATAACTTACAGCCTGCGTGGTTTCAGAAAACATTATTTACCATATAAACAAATTTATTAGGCTCCATATTTTAACCTTGTACAAACAGAATTATACTTTTTTAGATAAAAAATACAGATCCATTGCATTAGGTTTTATTTGAGAGAAACAACTCACCTTTCCTTTGCTGATTTCAAGTGGAACTGATTTAATGTCTACACCTGCAACAGGACAATGACAGTTTGTTTTAAGTTGTTTTATATTTTTAAGTTAACATATTTTTAGGAAAATAATTAAGAAGGATGTATAAATATTAGCTCAACTAATACTTTTAAATCGTATCCATGAATATTCGTACATGGAGATTATACAGCCACGGCTTACCATGCAAAGCACATTGCTGTCATATATCATCTGTCATATGTTGGCTACAGTGTCAGACAATTAAAATAATAGGGACTAACCAGACAAATAATTCAGTTCATATTTCTTGGCATAGAGCTAAAAGGTATCTTTTACGTTAAAACTAGTAACGTAACATATGTTTTGAAAATAAGATATTTAGCTAAATATTGTTCCTGTAAACAAAGAGGGATATGATGAAAAAGTTCCTGATATTGTAGCCATGGTAAAGAGTAAAAGCCTAAGATTGGCTGGTTGTGTAGAAAGGAGAAAAAGACAGAATATACTAAAGAATAATAACTTATGAAAAATTTTGAGACACGCCCCTCTGTTAGCAAAACTAAATTTAAAGGCGGGGAGATGGGTTTAGAGTGAGCTGCAACGTATGTGTCAACAAAATATGTAAAGAGGAACTTTACATGAGGAAGGATGCATGAACTCGTATGGATAAATTTGTTCAACAAAGAACCAGTCCATCAATAAATTATTGTAGTAAGGGTAACTCTTGAAAGTCAAACCTATAGTTTTCCAATCCTTTCAGGATCCTTTCAGGTAACAGCTAGTTAAAATAACATTAGATTTAACGAGTGCTTAGGTTTGCTGCTACGGGGAGGGTAAAAAGTGTTTTTTGACCATACGTCAATAGTATAGGATGAAATAAATAAATTTGCCAAATTTTATCAACATATACAATTATCCATAAACAAGTAAACTCCAACAGTTTTCATTTTCTACATAAGAATAACATGAGAATTTTAAATTACACTTTTTTAGAATTTTCTCCGTTACCGTTAACCATACAACAGCGCTTCAGTATACTAAATTATTTCTTTCTCTACAAAATGGTTTAGTAAGATATTGCAAATTTTTTTTTGGTCAAATATGGAAAAAAACCATTTTTACCCCATAAAACCCCCCATAAACCTCCGTTCCCATGGTCAGATTATGTTGGTTCGCAAACTAGTTTTCATAAAAGGTAGCTTTACATTTTTAAACCGAATTTAATCAAAATCGGATCATTTTTGCTCGAGTTATCGTGCTAACGGACACACATAACTTATATATATACTGTACCATACTAGCAGAGCACCCGTCCTTCATACGGGGTTGGCATATAAGTATAAAATGCTTATTGCAGTTATACTCAAGTTTTGCGTTTGCAATGGGGGGAGGACACAGTTTGATAGAATTTGGTTCATAAATTTACGGTACAGTATGATAAAGTATAACACATCTACCATTGCCATAATGTTCTACCATTGCACCTAAACAATAGAAAAAATTAAATTATCAAACATTTGCACAATATCACAAATTATTCATTAAATTAAAAACTCAAACCTAACTGTAAACAATCCTACTTTGACAGTTCTCATTGTGTATCACAGCTTTTTGTTGCTGCTTAGTTCAAATTAGCTGTTGTCATATATGCACAAACAAAATAATAATAGTGCTGCACCCTGCTGGGAAACCTTATAACTTTTTAATGCTATTGCATATTATAGAACCAACTTGTAAAGTTGAAACAGCTGACTAAATTCTTTAATCTATATCTAAAAAAGCGGAACTATGTATGTATGTGTGTGTGTGTGTGTGTATATACGTTATGGACTCCGAAACCGCTAGACAGATTGTAATGAAACTTTCAGGCATTGTTAAGTATCTTTCAAGGATGGTTCGAGTGAAGTTTGGTGCAGATCCGTCAAAAGGGCTCTGCCCTAGAGGGTTAAAGTGGGCCAATGTCAGACTTTTTGATCTACAATGTTTACAAATAAATATAATTTAAAAGCAGATGTTTACTTTCACCAACTGTTTTGTAGGTTTGAATAATCACAACATTCTGTATTAGCATTAGTCATGATTTGAAATAGTGCCACAGTGTTTCTACAGAGTGCAGCACAGCAAACTATTTACTTTTTAATAAGTCCAAATGTATTAAACCCCAATCGCAGCACACCTGTGCACTCAACAACGTTTAAATTCTTTAATGTTAAATATTAAACCTTTATCAAAGTTTATAAACAATAAAAGGGATGACTTTTTAAAATTTATGACAACAGCTAATTTGCAACCAAAAGGTGAGTGAGCGTAGCGAACGAACATCAACCTGGAGGCGAGTAAGCGTAGCGAACGAGCTAACCTGAAAACAAGTGAGCGCAGCGAACAATTTTCAACCTGAAGGTGAGTGAGCGTAGCGAGCGAACTTCAACCAGGACGTTATTGAGCCATGCGAATACTTATGAAGTTAAGCGGGGCAAAGCCCGCGGGTACGGCTAATTCCCTTTAAATATGAATACTCATAAGGTTAACATGGGGAACTACAGACCCACTGGGGCAGAGCCCGAAAGGATTTTTGAGATAAGAATATGCCTAAATGTTAATAGGGAATGTGAGCTATCATCATGCCAAATTTCAGCCCAATCCGTCCAGTAGTTTATGCAAGATTGAGCAACACACAAACATACACACAAACTCACAAACTTTCAGATTTATAATATTAGTAAGATATATATATGTATTTGATCGGATGGTGTTTTTGGCCTCTAGAGACCTCAAAACAAAAAAATAAATCGGTCCCGGGTTCAGGTCTTACCATGAGACCTACGGTAATAGCTTATTCCCTATATGGGAAATTCGCTAATAATTAACAGTATTTTATTTCATTTAAAGTATGAGATGTAAAGACTCTTATGAAATAGGTAATTAGAACACCTACAAAAACTCAATAGGCCTGTAACAACTGAAAACGTATGCTTACCTTCTTTAACTAATGTTAACATATCTTCTGTGGCTGTAGTGTCTACCTTAACAGGTCTACCATCAGTCGTTTTTAAGGGATGAGTTTTTGGCTCTGCAACCATTTTAACTTGGCCAACAACTTTTTTTGTAGGGTCATCTATGGCACCACTTCTTATGGGCTTGGTGTCTGCACGAACTGACAATTTCTGTTGCGGTATTTCTGGTTCATTATTAGATTGTGAAGAAGCTAAAACAGTTGTTTCTTCAAGAGGATCAATATTATCCAGCTTTATGGTTAAAGTACCGCTAGCGTTCCTTGAAGACTTTTCAGGGATAAGTTGCACCTTGGAATGAATAGGCTTGTTTTGTACTGCTTCAGTAGTATATCCTTTAGGTAGTGACTCTTTTGTTGACAATGTAAGTTCTGTTTTAGAAATGACATCAGATGTGAGTGATATTCCCTTTTGGCCATTTTCAGTTTCTAGTGAGACCTCATGAGGAGCTCTCAACGAAGGTACTAATTTGGTTTTCGACTTATTAGTAGAATCATCAATAACAGAAGGAAGTGATTTTGACTCTCTCTCTATTGCAGATAATTCACCTTTAGGTGGGACAAGTAGTTTTTCTTTGAATTCAGATGTTCTAGATTGTGATTTGGTCACTTCTGTGTCAGGTAAAACATCAGAAGTTTTTTCTATATGTTCTTCATTTCCTGACATGTCCTGAGGTCCCACACCAGGTGCTGTTGATTTGTGTACTATTTCACTTCCCGTAACACCAACAGGATCCACAATACTTTGACTAACTGGTTTTGGTTCTATTTCAGATTTTGATAATTTGCTTTGTAGGGTTTCAGGAAAATGTTCTTTAGACAGTGGTTCCATTTTTGATAGTGTTTTACTATCGGTTTTAGATATGAGATCAGATGTCTGTGATTTGATTCCTTGTACATTTGCCATTTTTGGTGAGTCATCATGAGAAGCTGTTGAAGATAGTAATTTGGTTTTTGGTTCACTCATGGAACCATCAATAATGGGAATAACCAATGTTGGAAGAGCCTTTTCTTGCACAGAAATAATGGGAGCAAGTAATTTTGACTCTCCCTCTAGTTCAGATAATTTATTTTTAGGTGGTATATGTAGTTGTGTTTTAGATTCTGATGTTCTAGATTGTGATTTTGTCACTTCTTTATCAGGTAAAACATCAGGAGTTTTTTCTATATGTTCTTCATTTCCTGACATGTCCTGAGGTCCCACACCAGGTGCTGTTGATTTGTGTACTATGTCACTTCCCGTAACACCAACAGGATCCACAATAGTTTGACTAACTGGTTTTGGTTCTATTTCAGATTTTGATAATTTGCTTTGTAGGGTTTCAGGAATATGTTCTTTAGATAGTGGTTCCTGTTTTAATGGTGTTGTACTATCGGTTTTAGAAATGAGACCATAAGTCTGAGATATAATTCCTTGTACATCTGCCATTTTTGGTGAGTCATCATGAGAAGCTGTTGAAGATAGTAATTTGGTTTTTGGTTTACTTATGGAACCATCAATAATGGGAGTAAGCACTGATGGAAGAGCCTTTCCTTGCACAGAAATAATGGGAGTAAGTAATTTTGACTCTCCCTCTAGTTCAGATAATTTATTTTCAGGTGGTAAATGTAGTTGTGTTTTGGATTCTGATGTTCTAGATTGTGATTTAGTCACTTCTGTGACAAGTAAAACATCAGAGGTATTTTCTATATGTTCTTCATTTTCTGACATGTCCTGAGGTCCCATACCAGATGCTGTTGATTTGTGTACTATTTCACTTCCCGTAACACCAACAGGATCCACAATAGTTTTACTAACTGTTTGTGGTTCTTTTTCAGATTTAGATAATTTGCTTTGTAGGGTTTCAGGAACATGTTCTTTAGATAGTGGTTCCATTTTTGATGGCATTTTACTATCGGTTTTAGAAATGATACCAGCTGTCTGTGATATAATTCCTTGTACATCTGCCATTTTTGGTGAGTCATCATGAGAAGCTGTTGAAGATAGTAATTTGGTTTTTGGTTCACTCATGGAACCATCAATAATGGGAGTAATCACTGATGGAAGAGCCTTTTCTTGCACAGAAATAATGGGAGTAAGTAATTTTGACTCTCCCTCTAGTTCAGATAATTTATTTTCAGGTGGTAAATGTAGTTGTGTTTTGGATTCTGATGTTCTAGATTGTGATTTAGTCACTTCTGTGTCAGGTAAAACTTTGGAGGTATTTTCTGTATGTTCTTCATTTTCTGACATGTCCTGAGGTCCCACACCAGACACTGTTGATTTGTGTACTATTTCACTTCCTGTAACAACAACAGGATCCACAATAGTTTGACTAACTGGTTGTGGTTCTATTTCAGATTTAGATAATTTGCTTTGTAGGGTTTCAGGAACATGTTCTTTAGATAGTGGTTCCTGTTTTAATGGTGTTGTACTATCGGTTTTAGGAATGAGACCATAAGTCTGTGATATAACTCCTTGTACATCTGCTATTTTTGGTGAGTCGTCATGAGAAGCTGTTGAAGATACTAATTTGGTTTTTGATTCACTTATGGAACCATCAATAATGGGAGAAACCAATGATGGGAGAGCCTTTCCTTGCACAGAAATAATGGGACCACTCATGGAACCATCAATAATGGGAGTAAGTAATTTTGAATCTCCCTCTAGTTCGGATATTTTATTTTCAGGTGGTATATGTAATTGTGTTTTAGATTCTGATGTTCTAGATTGTGATTTGGTCACTTCTGTGTCAAGTAAAACATCAGAAGTTTTTTCTATATGTTCTTCATTTCCTGACATGTCCTGAGGTCCCACACCAGGTGCTGTTGATTTGTGTACTATTTCACTTCCTGTAACACCAACAGGATCCACAATACTTTGACTAACTGGTTTTGGTTCTATTTCAGATTTTGATAATTTGCTTTGTAGGGTTTCAGGAACATGTTCTTTAGATAGTGGTTCCATTTTTGATGGCATTTTACTATCGGTTTTAGAAATGATACCAGCTGTCTGTGATATAATTCCTTGTACATCTGCCATTTTTGGTGAGTCGTCATGAGAAGCTGTTGAAGAAAGTAATTTGGTTTTTGATTCACTCATGGAACCATCAATAATGGGAGTAACCAATGATGGGAGAGCCTTTCCTTGGACTGAAATAATGGGAGTAAGTAATTTTGACTCTCCCTCTAGTTCGGATAATTTGCTTTCAAGTGGTATATGTAACTGTGTTTTAGGTTCTGATCTTCTAGATTGTGATTTTGTCACTTCTGTTTCAGGTAAAACATCAGAGGTCTTTTCTGTATGTTCTTCATTTTCTGACATGTCCTGAGGTCCCACACCAGATGCTGTTGATTTGTGTACTATTTCACTTCCTGTAACACCAACAGGATCCACAATAGTTTGACTAACTGGTTGTGGTTCTATTTCAGATTTTGATAATTTGCTTTGTAGGGTTTCAGGAACATGTTCTTTAGACAGTGGTTCCATTTTTGATGGTGTTTTACTATCGGTTTTAGATATGAGATCAGATGTCTGTGATTTGATTCCTTGTACATTTGCTACTTCTGGTGTGACCTCATGAGAAGCTGTTAAAGATTCTAAATTGGTTTTTAGTTTAGTACTCGTAGAACCATCAATAATGGTAGAAAGTAATTTTGACTCTCCCTCCATTTCGGATAATTTATTTTCAGAACTTTTAATAAGTTGTACTTTAGATGGTAATGTAGTTGCTTCTTTGTCAGGTAAGGCATTCAATGTTTTCTCTTTTTCTTCTTCATTGTCAAACATTTGTTGAGGTTCTTCATTTGATAATGTCAGCTCATTAGACACCTTTGAATGCTTTTCCAGGTTTTCACTTGATTTTGAGAATTTATCATGAGATTCTGTTGTCTCGGACACAATTTTTTGTTTAGTGATATCTAGAGCTCCAACAGAGCTTGTTCTTTGTTTGATATCATATTTAAGTAATTTGCTTTCTAATCTAGGGTCTAGCTCACATTTTCCTGTTTCTGTTATTTGACTTTCATCTTGTTCTAATAATGCATCCTGATCCATCCGTTTGATAGATAACAGGGAAGATGTATGGACTGGAACATCCATATCTTTGTCTTCAGCCATGTGTTTTAAATCTTCATCTGATTTTATAGGTTTAACTATCATCTCTGAGGCAGTTACAGACTCAAAGATTTGAGGTTTTAGAGAAATTATATCTTTCTGTGGTTTAAATGTGATAACATCTTCCGGAGATAAAATTGACGGTTTGAGATCAATATTTTCAGTGCCTAATAGATCTAAAACATCTGACACGTCAGCATGAGAAGAGGTAGGAGTTTCAGCAGCAGCTACTGCAACAACCTTAGGGTCTATATTTTCAGCCTAAAAAACAAAGTTTTATTGATAAATAAGCTTAGAATTGAATACACGTACATCACAGGCATGAATTTGGAAAATAAATGCTGTCAAAGTTACTATATTTAAGAACCTACTTCAAAATTTGCAACATTATTTGTCTGTTTTTAGCTAACTTCTCCCCCTTGAATGTTCTGTACTGATGTAACCTTTCAGATTGTCAACAAATTCTTAAGAGAATAATAAAAGCATATTTCAGGATTTCAAAAGGAATATTACTTATGAAAATATGGCATTAAAAATTAAAACTAATTTTGGTAAACACAATTTTTCTTGGCCTGCTCACCGAAATTAGTGGGGTGAATGAATTTGGACAGTTACAGCACACAAGTTCAAGTAATTAGCATCATGTTTTACACCTTCGATCTAATGAATCATCTACTTGGTAAATAATACATTAGATTACAATATTGAACCCAAGAAAATACTGAATACATTATGAAATCAAGAAAACTTCAACCTTATAAAAAGACCATAAACAGGGTTTGATAAATGAATAGCCATTTGGTTCAAATAATAAATAAACAAATTAAATGATTAATTTATGTGACAAAAATGAGCAAAATCAGAATAAGTATGTGCTGTCATCTTTATTCCCTTCAGGCATACACCTATACTTAAACTGTTTTTACATCCTTTAACAACTTTCATAATTGACACTATATTAATCAGTTAGTAGATGTAAAAATATCAATAAACTCTTGTACTAGATATTTTGTTTAATAAACAAATATCTATTTCAAATAACTTATCCTTTACCATAATTACTTTAGTTTGTAAATTCATATTTTAATAACATACCTCAGTTTTTGTTGAATATTTTGATAAATTTTCTTTCAATGACCTTACTTCTGCCAAAGATTCTTGCAATCCAGAAATAATTTGTTTGTTGTCAAGCTCTTCCTGTATGTTCTTTTGTGCTTCTTGGTCTATAATGTCTGTAAATAATTTGGTTTGCCTTTTTTCTAGCAATTGAATTTTAGATTGTAATTGCCTTTCTAACGCAGCGTACTCTTCTTCTAAAAACTTTACTCGTTCTTCTTTCTCCCTTAGCTGTTGTGAGGAAGTATTTAGTTTTGTGCTGAGCTCACTTATCTCAAATTGTAAATTCTCACTTATCTTTTTCCAATCAATGTCTTTAGGTTTTAATGCTTCATCAAATGTTATTCTTTGATCGTCTGAAATTGGTGCTTTATTTTGATTAGTTTCTAATCCATCCGTGATTCCAAGTAAAACAGGAGTAGCCTCTCCTTGATTTAATCTATGTATTCCAAATTTATGAGGGACCTGGTTATGTTCATCTGAAATAAACTGTCCAAGTTCTTTTATTCTATTCAATATCATGTCTTCTTCATTTCTTATTAGATCAATTGCTTGTTGAAGTTCCTTCAAGAAAATTATAAGACTCTCGACTTTTTCTCTTGCTTTTACCTCTTCATTGTGGTTTGGTAATGGTTCATCTTCTTTATAGGGTATCTCTATATTTTGAAATAGCTTTAAAAAATATCCTGCAGAAACAATAGGAATGAGGTATTCTGATAATTCAATTTGTTGTACCAAATGTTCTTTTCTTTCTTCCAAAGAAGTTAAATCTGCATTGTATCTATTAATCAACCTTTTTATTTCTTTTCCCAAAGGTGATTCATTGTGTGATCTTGTGCCTTTCGTAAAAGGTAAGACATTTGATGTGGAGATATCCCCTTTGGATATAGTCTTAACAATGTGAGAAGATGGTGGCTGAATCAATTCTGCATTTTCCAATTCAGGTTGTTTTAAATGTGAAGATTTACTAAATGATTGTTTAACAGATGCTTTTGATTGGTTGGATCTCTCTTCTGGACAATTAAATTCACTGTTTTTAAAATTTGTGGTATCAGGACCAACTGATGTTTGTGAAGAAATTAAGTTATTATCAAACTGTTCCGATTCCTTTGGTGAACTGACAGCAATTTCGGACATCTGTGACACATACGGTTGCTTCCTTGTCAAGGGGTCAGAAATGTTTGCACATTCAGAATCAAATACAACAGTTTTTAAAATATATGATTTATCTTTTTTATCTTTTGAATATTCAGAAATCACCCTATTTGGAACAGATCCCTCATTTAAAACAGCCACATCATTGCTGATCCTGTGTGCAGAATCTGTGATTCCGGATTGAGTTTTTTTAGCTATTTCAGTAGATAATACATCCACTGGAGTGTGTGTGGTTTCAGAGCTAGCCAATTTTACAAATGATTCCTTTGTGCCTTTAGATTCCAATGGTGCAATCAAAGACTTGCCAGAAACCTTGGGCAAAAAAGACTGCTTCTTTGTCAATTGATAAGTAACTTCTGATTCACTAGGGTCAGTTAAAGTATTTGATTGATGTTTTTTATCTTCAGATATTTCATGGTATGAATCAAATGTAGTCTTTAGAACAGCCATTTGCTCATCAGAATTCACAGTTTCAACTGGAGGATGTATGTGCCCTGAACCGATTTCATCTTGTTTTTCTGGTTGTTCTTTATTAGATGACTCATTACTAGAAATATGAGGGATTATAGCACCTTTTGCCTTTTCAGACACAAACACATTTACCTCAGACTGTTCAGAAATAACTTTGTTTCCTTCCTTTGACTCAAGCGTTTCATGTTTAGAAATTGTCTGGTCTGAAGTGTATTTATTGGTTGAAGAAGGATGGGCAGTTTTGAATGAAAGCACCAAATCTAAATCCTCCTGACTAGTTTGAGCTTTTTTAGAAGATTTCGCATCAACTGAAACATGTGTGGCTATAGGGCTAGCTACTGTTTGTGATGGGGATAAATGACTGTAGTTTTGCTTGGTTACTGATGAATCAGAAATGTGTGATGTCTCTGAATCCATTGGAGTTTTTGATGGACGTGTCCCATCATCAGCAGATTTAGAAGTTGTGTAGTTAACAACAGGTTTAACAGTTGGAAAAGTCTTGCCTTGATCAGGACTAGCAGATTGAAGGGTTGGTTGCATTAGTTTAGACTCCTCCTTTAACTCCTCTTCTGCAGGACCTCCTAATAATTGTGTGGCAGCTAAAGGACTCTCCGATTGTTTAGCATAAACTTTATTTTCATGATTTAATTCCAATGGCCCAATTGTAGCTATTTCAGATGCAGTACTAACAGTATTAAGTGCAGGTACAATTTTAGATCCTGAATCGTCCAAATTTCTTTCATTTGTTTTAATAACATCAGTAAAACCTTGATCATTTGATGGCGTCATCATTGCATCATGGGATACAGGTTTATGATGATTGACCTAAAATCAGTTACTTTATCATGACATAGCTTGGTCATTAAAACAATTGGAATAATAATTTAAAAATACGTATGATAGCCTTACCCCAGAAAACTTGCAGACTAAGAAAATTTCAATTTGCATGATTGGATTTTGGGTAAAAATTTTTCCAAAAACAAGCCATATATTACAGTATATATTCCTTATTTAAATAACAATAGATTCAAAAAGTACTTATGTTTGCTGCTGCAGGGAAGCGAAAAAAGTGTTGTTTGATAAAATGTTAATAGTGTATTTAAGATGAAATAACTAAACTTGCCTCCTTGCCTGTTTTTGATTTAAATAAATATAGCCTATAAAAAAATTAAATACAACAACTGACATTATTGTGTTTTCTTTTCCCCCATAAAAATCACATAAACATTTTAAATATATATAGTCATTTAGAACTTTCTCTGTAACCTTTAATGTACATCAATGCTTCATTCAGTTTAGAAAATTGTGCATTTCAATGTTTTGAGGGTATACTTTTGATTTTAGGTTCAAAAGTTATGGATATATTAAGTAATAAATAGTATCAGCAATCTCACACACAATTTATCCCATTAGCTTGCCATTAACACCTATGGTGAGCCCCGAATTAATTCTTTTTATGGGTAAAATCACAAAAGTTGCAAACACTCTTGAACTGTAATTTTTTACAGCAATAGGAGTTCTACCATTCTGTTTAGGATTATAAGAACCATAACATATTAAACTTTAATCAAGATCGGTGTGTGTAACTTAGCTACTAACTATTGAGTACCGTACTAAACAACTACATTATTATGCCAATGCCCTCTTTTCTGCTTCATTCCCTCAACCCGCCTCAATTCACTCATTAAGCTTCGGATTTGTTACTTCACACAAATTACTTAACATCTTTCAAGTTTCACTTTTAACATTTCTACATTCCTTTTCCGACACACACATTAAAAGTTTGGCACTGACAGTGATTGAGCCTACTCACAGGCTTCCAGTCAATTTAGGCTTATTTCCTAAATGTTTTACATTGAACATCGCTTTATGTGAAATATATAATTCTATGTAATTATTTTTACGCCACACTACATTATTTTGACGAACTTCCCACGCAAGGATTTAGTCCAGAAAACAGCTGTTTGCCACCAGCTTATTCAAATGGGGTTTCATTGCGTACTACTGTACTGTAATGAGTTTTAACGGACACCAATCAGCTGATTATACTGTTTAGGTGGCAATGAGTGGTTATGAACAAAAACAACCTCTCTTAGAGGTTATGACTAGTGATTTTTAGTCCTTTAGTAGGTTGAAATGTATAAGGATTTGTACATATTTAGTAGTATGGCGTAAACTATCGTACGTAACTCGTCCAAAATGTGTGTACCGGTCTCGTGTGGTAATCCCGTGCGAGACGACAACACTCGTCCGTTAAACACTTATTTTCAGGACTAGTAACGTAATATACTATTACGCCACACTATACTAAGCTTCCCATACAAGGATTTTGTCCAGAAAACAGCTGTTTGCCACCAGCTTAATCAAATGGGGTTTCATTACGTACTACTGTACTGTAATGAGTTTTTACCGGACATAAACCAGCTGATTATATTTGGCAATGAGTGGTTATAAACAAAAACATAACCTCTAAGTACATAAGTAGTGATTGTTAGTCCTTTAGTCGGTGGGAATAGATAAGGCTTTGTACAGATTTTTTATTGTTAAAGTTAGTATGGCGTAAAATGTTGTACGTCACTCGTCCAACATGTGTTTACCGTACTCATATGGTAATCCCGCACTCGACTTCGTCTCCCACGGGAACGACCACACTTGTCTGGTAAACACCTATTTTCAGGACTATTATGTTTTTACTTTTTATATAACATTCTTTTTATTTTGTACATTAGTAAGTAAGATGTTTTGTTTCACTGAAGTGTATGTTTATGTTTTACACTGTAGATCTTTTTGGAAATAAAATTCAATTTATTTAGATTTTTGGGTCTAGCTCTTTAAAAAAAACCAATATTTTTGTCATTTTATAAAAAAATCACGTATAGTAAGTTACAATAACTTTTGAACCCAATTTTTTACAGAAATCGTAGATAGTGGTACCCTTTTGTTAAGAGTTAAAAAGACTATAACATACTAAAGTTTAATCAATATCAGTATGCTTTTCTTAAAAAAATCTAATTTTCCTTATTTTTTGGGGGATTTTTTAAATGGGAAAATCACATGAGTTACCATAACTTTTGAACCTTAATTTTTACAGCAATAAGAGTTGTATTATTTTTGTCTAGAGTAAAAAGGGCCATAACATAATAAGTTTTAATCAAATACCCTTGCCGCAGCAAACCTGCAGACTAAGTGAATTTCCATTTACCTGGCTGGATTTCTACTAAAATATTCACTGAAAATTGTCAGATTAATTTCCTGTTTAAATAACATTAATTTTAATAAGTACTGTACCTGGGTTTGCTGCTACAGGGAAGGTATTGAGGTGTGTTTTTAATTGAATTGTTAATAGCTTAGTATGAAATAAACAAATTGTCAAATTTGATCAAAATATCTATATCTATAAACAAACAAACTACCGTACAACAGTTTATTTATTCTCCATAAGAATAACATGTGGATTTTAAATTTAAATTCTTTTTAAGCTCTACAAAATGGTCTGGAAAGAAATTGTGAAACTTTATGTTTTTAGAGTCAAAAATGGGAAAAACTAATTTTCACCCATAAAAAACCCCCATAAACCCCCGTATGGTACCCATAGTCCGATCATGCAGGTTTGCGAACTTGTTTTAATAAACGTAGGTTTACAAGTTTGTACCAAATTTCATCAAAATCATTTTTGCTCAGATTATCGCGCTAACAGACACACACACACACATATAGTGGTATGTATTTATATGTATATCAAGGGCCGTCCTAGACATATACTTTGGGGGGGGGGGGCACCGGGGGGCCTGGGGGGGTTTTAAATTGGAAATGACGTGCTAAAATGGGGGTTTTTAAGCAATTTTGAGGACCTAGTTTAATGTGTTTAAGCTTCCCAGTTTATCTAAAGGTCAAAGAAATTTTTAAAAATAAACTTGTATAATGTCATGTTTTTGAATTATTGAGATTTGTGGTTTTAATAAAAAAGGAATACATTACAACACATTCAAGCATTATTGATTTAGGTACGAAAATACCCTTTCAACTGGTGCTGATGTGCATGCTAAACAGAAAATGTCCAAAATCAGACCACGATTTCGAACCTGAATTATTTTATCGAAGAAGTGTTTAAGAACTTACACCCAACACGACTGCGTTATACCTGCCCTGTAATTCCGTTTTAAGCAACAGTTATCCTACACAAAGTACACTACCCAACTAACGTTGCCCGTTGCTGTCACTGCTACCACCTGAAGAATTAGGTTCTCAGTGTGCTCATTTTTTTTAGAATTTGGTAGAACGATTTGCAATACAAATTATTAAAGTTCCGCTGATATAACAATTTATCTATATAAAAAATATTTAGGGGGGGTCACGACCCCCTGACGCCCCCCGGGGACTACCCTTGATATATATAAATAAATATACATATAGGTATATATATATATATAAAGTGAAATAAAATAGGGTACTTAGTTTTTAATAATGCATTTGTATATAAATATAAAATATATAATATAAAAATATATATATAATATATGAATTTGACCGGAGGGTGTTTTTGGCCCCTGGGGACCTCAAAACGAAAAGTAAATCAGTCCCGGGTCTAGGTATTACCATGAGACCTACGGTAATAGCTTATTCCCTATATGAGAAATTCACTAAAAACTTTCTGGCCATTTTTGAGAAAATTTGTATTTTCCCGTTTTTTGTGGGTTTTTATCAAAAAATCATCATAAAAATTAAAATAAAAAAATAAACTTTAAATACCCCTGCTTCAGCAAACCTGAAGATTTCCATTTTCCTAATTTGATTTTCAGTTTTTCACACGGTAAATGCTAGCAAACTCATGCTGCTGAATTCCCGCCAGCCACACCTGCCTTTTTTCATACAGTAAAATGTAGCTTATTTTTGCGCCAGTTGAAGTCCAGGAGCGGCAAAGAATTGCTATGTTGTATATATTACTCATGGCCAGTTTATGAATTGTGAACAAGAATATGAATCCATTCAAACCAAGTCCAAACAAAAGTGCAGTAAACTTAATTGCTGCTTTTAGCGAATTTCCCATATATTAGCAAATTTCCCATATAGGGAATAAGCTGTAGGTCTCATGGTAAGACCTAGACCCGGGACCGATTTACTTTTTTTTGTTTTGAGGTCCCCAGAGGCCTAAAACACCCTCCGTTCAAATTCATATATATATATATATTTAATATATATGAATTTGAATGGATGGTGTATTTTACCCATTGTATATAAAGTCCCGCACGGGCTTAATATTTTCTTAACAACAACAGATAAATCAATAAGATTTGGTACATCAACACCACACCTAAAAGTTTTTCAAGGAACTATGAATTTTCTGTCATATCATGGGGGCAAGGAGTCAGAAGGAAATCTTAAATAGGAGCATAGGTCAATATGCACATCAAATGAATGGTCTTTTTTAGTAGAATACAATGCCGCAAACCGCACTTCGAAAGGTTGATCCTGCGCAAAATGGCGGCCATTCAAAGATTTCTTGAATCCGCCATTTTGAATCATTGAACGACTGCCATTTTTTACTCAGGCGTTCTTTTGAGCTTGAATTTACGGCATTGTAATCTACTAGTGAAGACCTTTAATTTGATGTGCATATCGACCTATGTATACGTTAACAATTTTCTTCCGATTCCTAGGGCTGTGCCCCCTGAGGAGTAAGCGTATAATAGCAATGCAAATTAAATTAATCTTTGAACAACTGTCATTATTGGCTCGGTTGTCCGTTTGAGTTCAAATTTGCGGCATTATATTCTGCTAGTAATGACCTTTAATTTGATGTACATGCCAACCTATGCTTCTATTTA